GGGATGACGATATCATGCATTTGGGTGTTAGAGAATCGAATGAGGAACCGTGAAATACAAGGATTCTCCTATGCCTCGTGGCTTCATCCGTTTGGTTTGTTTCAGTGGGCGGTTGGACATATGAATTGTGAAATTTCGACAAAGAAAATATAAAAAATTCAAGTTAAAATTGTATTCGAGAGTTAGAGTTGTGTTAGATATGAATATAGTTTGGAGCCGTTTTTTAATATTTGTGAGTGATTTAAAGTGAAAATTTCGAAAATAACTTTTGGAGATTTTAAAATTTTCAAAATTCAACAAGTGAAATTTAAAATTTTCATGACAAATACTGATTTCGAAAAAAAAGTGAACACGTTCCGGAAAAAGTGAAAAAAGTTTTATGGCTCAACGGGCCGTTAAATAAAAGGAATCGTTGTTTTTCTAGTAATTTTAACCCATCTACAATCTACCATATCTTATTTTATCCATGCATGCTAATTGTATGTGTTGATATTGATTAAGAAAAACTATAGAAGTAGCCACAAATAAACATTATTAACCAATAATTTGTCATTAAGTCAATGCTATCAAAAATAGCCTTAAAAGGTACCAATGATACACAATATTCAAAAGACCTAGGCGAAAAAAGAATTATTTTTCAATGGGTATGATTAAAATTCATTGAAAACATATAGATGAGGTAATACACAAATTTGAGGAAGATTGAAGGTGATTTGGATTGGTTTGGAGTCAAAATTCATTACCAATGATATAGAACATTCAAAACCTAGGCAAAAAAGGAACTGGAGGTGATTTGAACTCGTTCGGAATCATATTTCGTAGTTGAAATTTCTCTATGACACACATATCTCACACAGAGGGATACTTGGATATATATGGAATACATATTTGATAAATACAGAATACATAAATGATACATGGGTTATACACGTGAACGTACATATCTCATCTTCTTTCATGTTCATCTTCTAATTTGAATTTGGCTCAAATTCAATTCAAAATACCTCAAATCTCCATCAAACCAACCCAACATTAAAATTTAAACTCTTTAAGTTATACCCAATATGTTCCAACAACACTCATTCAAAACAAATTCAATAATTCGATGTCTCGAACTCTGCTACTGGTAAAAAAAAATTCAAGCTATTACTTTTCTTAAAAAAATATTTCTATTTAGTTGTAATTAGTTTTACTATATTTCTTTACTGGGTAGTATATTTACTTATGTTACTTAATTCATCCAAACAGTAGACACATATTAAGTGTTGTTTCTATAATATAAACGATTCGATAAGAGTATTTTCGCGAAAAAATTATTGTAGGCTGAGCAAGGTACTGATGAGGTCTACGTTAAGATTATCTTGATGCCTGAAGTAGCAGATGTAGAATACCCTTGGTATAGTATTTGCAAAGACACACGTGATGCACAGGCCTAGAAAGACGAACTTATGTTATCTCATAATGGGACAAAAGTTTATCCTAAACCAATATTTTCTCCCACTGGACCTCTTAACCGATGCCTTACATTAACCCCTCAAATGAAGAAAAATTCAATATGGTAAATGTGGCCTTGGGTATATATGGCGTAACATTGTCCCTCAAGGTTGAACTTGTCGAATTGGAGTAACGAAAGAGGAGAACTTCCTTTAGTTATCCAGCCAAACAAAAAGAGTAGTCTCTTGCTCCATTAACCGTGGTCTCATTAGTGATGCATACCGAGAAGGTAAGAGATGTTTTTGCACCATCATTATAGTTTTACACATTGCATTAGGTCACTTGCCGTACTTAAGTCCCTTCTTGCCTAGGAGTTCATGTCTTAAAAAGACGTAGTAATGGCGGGGGTAGCCACTATTTAAGGTGGTATTTATTTTTTATCCAGCAATTCTAATGTTGAGCAAAAATAGCCACTGCTCTATTAAAATTAATATGAAAAGACATGTTTACCCTTTCTTCCATTGCTTTTCTTCCCAAACCCTCGCTTCTCTCTCAAGTTCAATACCCACTCGTTTTTTCGTTTTCTTTCCAGGAGATATCCTAGTTTCAATTTCATTTTCTTTCCACGAGACATTTTTACCCTTTTTATTCATTATGCTTTGCTTTCTATTAGAATGTCATTTTTATTGACATTTAAAGAAAAAGGCAAATGTGCAAGGTCACAACAGAATGTGTTAGACCATTTGAACGAGAATTCACCAATTTGAGTTTTTACTTTTTTGACTCTAATTACAGATATCTAAGTCTGTACGTGTTAACCAAAGATCTTGGAATTATTGGCATGGAAACTAAGATTTTAAAAGTTAAGGACATTTGGTCCAGAACTTAGACTAACAAGCTCAAAAGTTAAGGACAATAGGTTCTGAACTTACAGTTACAAGTTCAAAAGTTAAAGGTAATAGGTCCTGAACTTAGGCTAAGAAGCCCAAAAGTTAAGGACAATAGGACCCGAACTTAGACTAACAAGCTCAAAAGTTAAGGATAATAGGTCCTGAACTTAGGACAAGAAGCCCAAAAGTTAAGGACAATAGGTCCTGAACTTAGACTAATAAGCTCAAAAGTTAAGGACAATAGGGTCTGAAGTCCTGAACTTAGAGTTACAAGTTCAAAAGTTAAGGACATGTAGTCCTGAAGTCCTGAACTTAGAGTTCCAAGTTCAAAAGTTAAGGACATGTAGAGCCCGTTTGGATGGGCTTGTTGTAAGTGACTTTTAAGCCAAAAGCCATAAATTAGGAATTCTAGCTTTTGGCTTATTTTTGTCATTTTAGCTTAAAAACAAGTGCTTAAAAGCACTTTTTTACTTTATCCAAACACTACAAAATTGATTAAAAGCTATTTTGGCTTAAAAGCACTTAAAGTAAGCCGATCCAAACGGGCTCGTAGTTCTGAAGTCCTGAACTTAGAGTTACAAGTTCAAAAGTTAAGGACATGTAGTCCTGAAGTTAAGTTCAAAAGTTAAGGACATGTAATCCTGAAGTCCTGAACTTAGAGTTCCAAGTTCAAAAGTTAAGGACATGTAGTCCTGAAGTCCTGAAGTTAAGTTCAAAAGTTAAGGACATGAGCGGAAAGGTATTTTCGTCCGGGTAGTTAAAGTTTATTAAAGCAGTGGCTAAAGATTAAAGATATTTTAAACAGTGGCTTAAAAGTAAATACATGTGTTATTGGTGGCTAACCGTGCACTTCCCCCTTAAAAGGCAGGTACGAATTACTAGGGCCGCCCAAAATAGGTCTTTTTTAAAGAGAAATTTTCATAAGGCACTATCTTTTGATAGTAATTAGCCATCTATAGATACCATTTGCTATATTACGGAATATAGATATCTTTTGTGTGGTTATAAGATGTATTTGATGTATTTAAGCTATTGTATTCATGAATACAGTAGCAAAAATAGGCGTGAATCAGGGAAGTCCAGCTAATCAGTTGTTGTATTCGAGTGTATTCGACTGTATTCATGGAGTAAAACATGGGATTACAGCTGGATAGATTATTGTATTCGACTGTATTCACGGCGTGAAAAAGGGGATTGCACTATTTTTAAAACGGAAAGTGAATCAATTAACATAATAGACTCCTAATATAACTCAACAAACTCAATTATAACACACAAATTTTGTATTTTCAGTTATAAAAAAGATTCTCAACCGAAAAATACCCCAAATACATAGCAATCTTCAAAGAAATTATATAATAAATCTTAATACATAAATTATATTAATTAAAAAAAAATAGATGAATACATCCATGGCATATAGCGAGACAGTGAATATAGTGAAATACATATAATATAGCGGGATACATTGAAATAAAATGAAAAAAAAGACAGTGAATACAATGAAATTCATGGAATACAACGAAATACATTGAATTACAATGAAAAAAACGACAATGAATACAATGAAAATACAGCGTGATACATTGAAAATACATTAAAATATATTAACAGAAAATCAAGTTGCTCAGCCCCAAACTCCGTCGTCTTTGTTCAAGAACAAATCCTAATTTCTGGCGATTACGTCGTCGAGCAACGAAATAATCCACCTAGTATCCGGTCTACTATATCGTCTTCCGAGGGTATTATCAGAGGGTGCTGCCTCTCTTTTATCGAAATTAGAAAATGCACAGCAGATGTTTGAGGATCTTGCAGCATCACTCACAGACCGCATTCGCGAAAGAAACAATTCGCAAGTTTTACCAATTAGTCACGTTGCAGTTGATGAAGATAATTCTTTGAGAAGAGATGCTGCTATCATACGATCAGAACGTCATACTCTGGATTCAATTGTGGAGACAAGCTCTGCTACGTCATCTGTTCCTTCCTCTGGGATGTATCAAAGTAGAGAGAGAAAGAAAATAGTGTAACTGATTAGCTTATTTAGTGGCTTAGAGCTAGGAGGTAACCAAAATTAAATATTTTGCTATAAACCTTAAAAGGTATCTATAGAATATTATTTTTTTAAATGGTATTTATTTAAAATAAATAAGGTGTTAACCTTTGCTATAGGAGGTAAAAATTCCCTTTTTAAATGGACATATGAGCCAAACCAAAACTAAAATGAAATTAGTTGGACACAAATTTAGTGAGGCGTCCCCCTCACAGCAAGTATGCAATATCTATACGTCACTATCATTTAACAGAATTTTATCCTATCAAGTCACTAACATAAATGACTTTTAAGTGACATAATAGCATAATTTTTTTTTTTACTATCTATGTGTAGAAGTTAAACCCTAACAACTGCTCCTTTCGTCCACTTTTACTTGTCCACTATGAATATTGCACACCCTTAAGAAATAACAAATGAAGTGCATAATTTACCATAGTACCCATAATAATGATAATATTTTAAGAAGTCCTGAAAATAATTTGTTAAATGAGTAATTAATTGTAAGAGCAAAACATGAAAAAAAAAAATATAGTCTTCTCTTGATTAACTAAAATTGACAAGTAAAAGGGAATATATATTTACTGTAATGAACAAGTAAAAGTGAATGGAGGAAGTATGTCTCGATCACAAACGAGGCTAACTGGTATTGATGCAAAATTTTAGCTAAAATTATGAGAAACTCGATAATCCGAAGTGAAAGTACACGATGTTTGCAGCAAATTGGAGGGCATTAATGCATTACAAATTTGAAGGCTAGAGCCTAGAGGACAAAAAACTAAGGAGTCCAAATACAAATCCTCCCTCGAAAGATTAAGAGAAACCAAATAAACGAAGCACATTCTATTTAGCCGGCTTCAATAGTCAAAGCTATTTGCTGGTTTACAGTCGCAAGTTTCATTCAGCTTTTCCTTCTAAAATCCGTGTGCAGCTTAATCACTTGATACTACACAAGCTACATAGCTAAATATAAGCTGGACCAACCAGTCTCCAATCTTCTCTAGCACTCTAATTTACATCCCAGATGAAACATCAAAGACACATTTGAACGTAATAGCATTGGCCGTCCCGTTTCCGCCACAGTGTGGTGCAGCTACAACAGGCTGTTCCGAATAAAAGACCGGAATCCAGCTCTACCCTATATAACGTTAATTAGAGAAGCTGTAAAAACCCTACTGCTCTCGTATGGCTATATATACCAAATAGAAGAAATGCAGTAGCAATATATTTGATTAATCAGCAACCCAGGGCCCAAGCGCCTACAATGTATTTTAGTGTTCCCTTTAAACATGTATACCATTCCCCTTGCTATAAATGCCATCTAACGATCCATTAGCCAGCTTTGACCCATTGACATATCGATGCGATTTTAGTCCTGACGTACCATTGCTCAACCCCCATGTCTTGGGAACATCCTTCTTCAAAAAAGTTTCGAGCTGCCCAGTTGCTGCGGCTATAAGCCCTGTTTAGGAAAACAAAAACAAGATTATAAAGGGACTAACACAACTTTATCAAAATAACGTGAAATGCCAGACATATCTATAAGCCCAGGATCCAAATTCGTAAAAAGAATTTATTTATTTGGCTCCTTGTCCCCAGTTATCTGAAACGGGAGAAATACCTAAGAAGAGGGCAGAAGGTTTTCCTGGCCTTGATTTAAATTCTGGATGAAATTGTACTCCAACAAAGTAAGGATGATTCGGCAGCTCCACAATCTGCAGAGGAAAGCGTCACATAAGATCAACCAACCACAGCAACATATAACTAACAAGCACGATTGCTTAACTTAATGGTTTAAGATGTTAACCTCCATACGGCGACCACTTTCATCTTTGCCAGTGAAAGAAAGACCAGCATTTTCAAGTTGTTGCACCATATCAGGATTCACCTAGCATGAGACAAGCTCTTTAGTCGTAAAGTCCACATAACAGTGTGGTCCACATGTAATTCTTGAAGTCCTTACAAAAAAGTGTGTACCTCATATCTGTGTCGATGCCTTTCATCTACAAAGCTCTGGTTGCCATATCTGACACAACAGATAAGCTTATTCAGTTGGAGATAGCAATAGGTAAAATTCCACCATATGAGGTTTAGATGAAATATAGTAAATCTAATATTGTGGACAAATGATGCTGATCTTCCGCACCTCCACCTCCACCCACAACTTAAGTAAGGGAAGAAAAGAAACTACTTCCTAGGAGACAGATTCCTAAGAAATGTATGGGTAAGCAGAACTGTGTCCCATCTAGAAGAGAACATAAATTTGATACCAGCAATGGAACAGACACAATCATCAGTATGTTAAGGGATTCTTTGTGGTACTAACTATCTTGCATTTATACGACTAAATCATATTAAATAGTTGTGTAACCAGAATTTCGTCATTATTTCACTTTAAAAGTTCCGCTCATCCTACGTAATGAGGATGGAGAGAAGGAAGCACTTACAATTTTGCAGATTTACAGTCAGCAACTTGAAAATATGTTCTCCTAGATCCAAGACGCATGGTACCACCCATATGAGTTTTTGAACCCTGTGATCATGGCAAACGAATTAGAACTGTGTACTACTAAAACAAAACTACAAACACAGGACAATCATGAGGGGCAAAGGCGATAAAGGGAAAGTAATCTTAACCTCCGGCATAAAAATAACACAAGGATTCTGAGTGTTGGGATCAAATTCTGTACTGTTTGCATCTAGCAATCCAAGAATGGATCGAGCAAACTCAATAACAGCAATTTGCATTCCTAGACATATCCCAAGGAAAGGAATCCTGTTTTCACGGGCATATCTAGCAGCGAGGATTTTACCCTCCACACCTCTGTCACCAAATCCTCCAGGAACTAGGATAGCATCTGCCCCCTGCAAGGTGTAGATCCAACAAGTCAGAAACAATAGAATACAAGATAAAGCAGGGATATAAAAGAGCCTAATTTGGCCAACATGATGTTGCAGAGTAAAACCATACAAACCTTCAACAACTTCCAAGCATTTTTGTAATTCTCAAGATTCTGCTAGTAAAAATATCAGTCAGATTAAGAAAAGCAAGATAGGTAAGCAAGTGAACATAGTGGTGGCAAAATACCTCTTTGGCAGTTTCACACTCAAGGTCACTGGCTGCAATCCAATCTATACAAAGTTTCCTGTGGCAAGGTACGGAGGCATGCACAAGAGCCTAAAAATAACTCACAAAGTTTTAGATACTGAAAATAGAGAGGGAAAAAAATATATCAATAGATAGTTCCCAACTATATTAGGGTAAAAAATAGAGATGAAAATAAATTAGGTTAAACGGCACAATATCCCCATGAAACAAAAAAAGAGAAAAGAGGGGGAGGGGGGGCTCAAAATGACATGGAGCATCCACATATTCTCCAAATCTAGTAGAGGAATCTATTGCTTAATTATACGTACTCGATAAAAACTGTTATGCATGCTAATCGGTTTTTCAAATGTTAACTATATCAAACAACTAACAATTACATGAGAAGGTGGAAGTTCAAATACAAACAAAAGAAGCTCCTCTGTATATTTGGCTGGATAACAGGCTAGAGTATAATCACCTTCAGTACAGAGAGGTAAGCATCTGAAAGCCCTGTGTACTTTCCTACCATGGCCACCCTCACCTGTAAATTCAGATGAAACAGTTATGGAAGATGTGATGCAAGTTGAGAGACTAATTCAGAAAACGAAAAAATATTATATATTTCATAGAACCTACAGGCTCATGTAATTTGTCACAGAGTTCGGCCCGAGATGTCCATTCTCCCAAGGCAGGCTCTCGTGCAACGCTGAAAGTGACATAATAAATTCAATACCACACAAGAAATGGCACAAAATCATGACGCATGAAAATGGGAATCAAATACTCGTTGTCATCAACAGAAATAAGTTAAAGCTTATCAGACATACCCTTTAAGGTTCAGGACTCTTAGAATTGCTTCGTGTGCCTTTTGATCCTAAATACACAAAATAGTTCCTTTAAAGCTTACAGTGAAGATGTTACACAGACAAAAAAGAAATAGAAGTGTGCGCAAAAAACTTACTCTTAAAAGCAAAGGAATGCGCCAAATATTTGAGACGTCGTAAAGAGTAATAATGTTATCTACCTGCAATGCAAGGAATATAGAACCTGAGCACTAGGAATTTTGAGAGTTGATGGCCTAAACAAGATTAACTGTACAAAAATAAAGTAAGATCATTTAGTCATAATACCGGAACATGGCAAAAGCGGGAAATTTTCTCCATGACATTCTCATCAAGTTCCTGAATAAAGAAAATAACTTCACAATCTGAACTTGATAAACATAGAGATATGTGGACCGGGGGGGGGCGGGGGGGGGGGGGGGGGGGAAGAGAGAGAGACCGTTGTGCTCCGGCATGCTAAAATGTTGGGAGTCAATCCCAGGCTTCTCAAACCTCTAACACTGTGCTGAGTAGGTTTTGTTTTCTGAATTTTAAAAATGATAAAGTAATCAATCTGAGTGAATACTTTGATATAAGATATCCATCCACATGACCAAAAAACAAATTTACTATATATTACCTGTTCACCAACTACACTCAAGACAGGCACAAGGCTGACATGTATCAAGCAAAAATTACCAGCACCTAACAAGCAAAAGTTTTTGAAAAGATGTTAGTTGCACTTAAATTCAAAAGGTAGTAGTTAGCTCAAGATTTGCACATCATAGAGCACAAATGACAGTTATATCATTTGGTTGTCACGAATTCAAGTTTAGACATGTAAACCTTACCCACACGATACGAAAATTGTCCTAACGCTTCGATAAATGGCATTGATTCAATATCTCCTGCATTATGGGATAAATTACTTTTAGGAAAACACACATCATTTGCCAACTTATCCTGCTCATGTGAAAATTCAGTTAAGTATACCTATTGTGCCACCCAGTTCTATGACACAAACATCTGGTGGACCCTCCTTGCCATCAACTGGTATGACCGCAACACGTTCAATCCACTCTTGAATGGCATCTGTAATGTGAGGGACAACCTAAACAAGTGACAGACTGTAAGAGCATAAATATTGGAAGAAATGACTCTTACGTAATTCTATGGAAAGGTGGTAAACCTGAACAGTTTTTCCCAAATAATCTCCTCTTCTCTCCTTATCAATAACAGACTGCAAAACCAAAAATAACAAAGCACTTTCTCAGTTAAAATTTTCCACTATAACCTTTGAATTTCACCAAGCATATAACAATAATCTGATAGGGAATTTTCAGAGGACGTGCCTGGTAAATTTTTCCAGTAGTTATATTGTTGTCGCGGGTTAACTTAATATCTAAAAAACGCTCATAGTTTCCTAGGTCCAGGTCCACCTACAAGAGATGAAGAAATATTGATATTAGTGATATACACACAAACAGTTTGCACTTTATCTTTGCTGAAAATAAAAGGAACAATCTAAAAACTTTAACTTTTACAGGAAAAACAGGAAATAATGACAAGCAGAAATATAGACCAGATTTTTAACTTTTTAATTTTAAAGTTTTGCTTTGAACAAGCAATAGTAAACTAACAGAAACCAAAGTATTGATCAACATTCAGCTAACAAAGTAACAAGTTTTAGCTTAAATCTTGAGAGTCCAAAACAATACAAGGAATCAGCTAACCACCTCCATACTTAAACATAAAGGAGAAACCAAAAATTATACTCCCTCTGTCTCATTTTATGCAGCTTATTTTCCTTTTTAGTTTAGCACAAAAAATATCAATTTTCTTTATTTACAGCTTGTTTGGCCAAGCTTCTTTTGAGCCAAAAATGCTTTTTTCTAAATTTAAAGTATTTGGCCAAGCTTTTAGAAGGAAAAAAAAGTGCTTTTGAATAGAAGTAGAAGCGGTTTTTTAGGAGTAGAAAAAAGAAACTTATCCTCAAACGGACTATTTGAGAAAAATAGTACTTTTTAAAATAAGCTGATTTTAGAAGCTTGGCCAAACGGGCTATTAGAATCAATTTAATTTTAAACTTTTCAATTTAATTTTAGTGAGAATATTTATGGACTGTTTTAGAGTTTTCAAGTTCCAAAAATCTTCTTTCTTTCCTTAAACTGTGTCCACTCAAGCTGCCACATAAAATGGGACGGAGGCCGGAGGGAGTACTATACATAAGAGATTCATAGCTAACCTCTCCACCATCATCCAAGACATATACTTCTCCATGCTCGAAAGGAGACATTGTGCCAGCATCAGTGTTCAAATAAGGATCTGAGCATGAAAAAGGAAGAGAAATGAACAGTAAGTAAGACAGTATATATACAATTCCTCCACCTCAATGGACTACAAACAAAAGACTAAAAAATGGAGGATCCATTTTCGTGAGAACCAAAGTTTCACCAAACTCGAGAGAGGAACACAGGAACTACAACTATACAAAAGAAAAAGAAAAAACAGAAAACTTTACCTGCTTAAAACAAAGAATGCTTCTTGAAATTGCTCTAATTTTTTCTTTTTTGAAAAAGATAAAGTTATCTGTAGGTTGACTTAAAAAACAATTTTGGCAATTTTCTTTTTTCCAATTGTTTTTAACAAATACCAACTTGAAGTTCTTTTTTTCGCAAGTCTTGACCAAAATATTCACTCCATGTTTAAAGTTTCCCGGTGTCTTATCGGCAGAGACAACAGTTTAATTGACTAGAGATTTATTGGAACAGCAAAAAGCAAAAGGAAAAGAGAAAAGGTTATACTATCCCTTTGCAAATCTGTGTAGAGAACACAGCATATTCTTCTATAATACAACTTTCATAAAGTCCAGATACTAGATAAGAGATTGACCAGAGAAACTATCAAAGACAATCTAAGATTTAGAGTCATTGTGTCCAGCTCTCAATTTTTTACGCAAACCTGAGACCTTTCAATTTCAAAAAAAAGCGGGACAAATGGGACACTGGATAAATCTGCCCACCAACCAGAGAACTCATGGTTTTTCTCCCATTAGGCACAACCTTCGTGCAGGACGACTTTCAACTTTTAAAAAAAATTGTTTTAAATATGCACATGAGTTCGAGCAAAAAGCAGTGAGTTTGGCCAAATCCACGGAGAATACACTATGCCCGCCCATGGAAAGAATAGCAAGAAAACGTTAAATATCCTTTCTTTGGTGCATTCTTGATTTCCATAACCAGAGAGGAGAAGAAACAGGCAAAAATAAAGAGAAAATGAGTTTGCAGAGACCAATCTTAATGGAAGTAACACGAAGACCGCAGGCCTTAAGAATAAGGCCAATACTGCTAGCAGTGACTCCTTTTCCGAGCCCGCTAACAACTCCACCTGTCACCAACACGTACTTCATGATCTCTGCTTCACCTCTTCAGGTATACAAGGAAAAAAGGACTCATTAGAAATCTTTGCACAAAAAGCAATGTTTGCTCTAAATGGTGATATAAACATTGTGTGTGGGGTGGCCAAATAAACAAGGCAAGATGTGGGAGGGGAACAAACTTTACCTACTAAGAAGAGAAAACACTTAGCCCAGGAATCTCTTTCCCCAAATTAACAAACACTAGTATGAATTAATCCAACCAACCTTATCCACTAAAAGGCGTTGTTTTTCATGTAACAGAGAAACAAGGAGGTGCAAAAAGCATGAAGCGAATAACACTACAGAGACAGAGGGAGAGAGGGAAAATATGAATGAGGGGAGAAGAGAATGGATGAGAGAATGGGAGGGGTGTGAAGAAGCAATGGCGGCTTTATATAGTAAAATATGAGGGCAAGGCAGGGAAGCGAAAGGAGAAAGTATATCGGCACCCTTTCTTCAAAATTCTTTAAACCTCCCCAAACCCTGCCTCCCCATTAAAAAAAAAAACATAAGCAAAAACAAAAAAGTAAAAGCAGAAGAGAGGGAAAAAGAAAAAGAGAAAATGGTTGTTATAAAAAGTGAAAATTGAGAAATGTTAGCATTCGCGAGCCGGGCCGGGCCGGGCCGGAACGGAGAAGATGTAGGCAAGAGAAAGAAGTGGAGTACCCAATGGACAATACCAATAAAATAAAGTTTAATTGAAAATATTAAATGCACTCCGACTTTCGCTCTCTTTCTTTAACTTTTTCAATATTTTTATACCATATCACTTATACTTGTTACCATGTTAATTCTATTATCTATACATGTGCATACACTATATTAAATAACGAAATATCGTTCATTTTTTTATCCTTTAAAAATAAATTTCACATTAAATAAAATTTTAATTTAAGTTATTTTTTTAATATTTAAAACTTTAAAAATTACTACAATATTATTTATTAAGTCATTCCTTATTTGAATTATGCATGAAATCCTAATATTTAGGATTTAATAAGAATACCATAAGAAAAGGAAAATATGTAAGAGATTCTCCAACAAAATAAACAATCCAATCACACAGCATATTGTCTTCGATGAAAATTATAGCTCCCGACAATAATGGTGTAACTTTGAAGTAATATTCGCTCTAAAAACAACTATATCATAGAAAAAAATTAATTGTAGTATAATATTTAGAGTTAAATAGGTATAAATGCGTATTTGAAACAATAAGGATACGATAGTACAAGATAATATTGTGTATTCTAAATGAACTTATCAATTATTTTTCTTGACTTTTCTTATTCTATCAAATGAGAACTCCCGATGTTTTTTTTTATATTTCTAAGTTATCTATTGTAAAATAGTAACTTAATACTGTTATTTTTAGACTTTACCCTATAGTTATCAATTTTTTTGAGCTACAGGGACAACCTCTTCATTCCTAAATCTCTAAAGAAATAAATCTTTTAATTTTCAATAGGTTTTATTTGACAAATCTTTACATAATCTTGATACCAATATTTATGCATTGCTTGCTTGTTTTTAATATTAGGTCACAGAAATAACAACACTATTTTATAAGATATTCCCACATAGGTTTTTAGAAATAAGAATAATGTATTTACGGATTTTTATAGAGAAGGATTTTTGTTAATGAGTTAGCTAAATGGGATCATTATTCATTATTTTCAAGAAATTTATTTTTTATTTTATAACCCACAGACATTGTGTAAATTTTATTTATATAATTTTTAAAATTATATATTTAATGATATGGGGTACACGCGCAAAGCGCGTAACGTAAGACTAGTAATTCATAATTATAGCAAAACCTATATTTATTAGCTAGTACTGTAAGTGTTCGTTTGGCTCAGGGGCAGATTTACATGAAGAAGTTGTGTGCTTAAGCACCCATTAACCTTAACTTAATGTAGGTATAATTCCACAGAAAACTTAAGAAAAGATATATAAAGCGTTAAAAAGCACCCAGGAAATAGAAATAGTGATGGGTGTTTAGTAAAGGGTGCTGAAAGTTTAAATACTGGTTAGGGGTGGAGGTTCGAAACTCCATCCAAGCGTAACACTTTTTTCAACCAAGCAAACTATTTCTTTTCCTTATACCCAAAGCTACTATCTTTCTTCTTTATATTTATTTTTAGACATTTTCTCAATTAGGTCTTCTTTTTTATTTTTCAAGCACACTTTCTTAACCCAATACTACTTTTTTTAATTTCTTTTTTGCTAACCTTTGTTTTTAGCTGTATGTTTTTCTTTTAATTTACCTAATTCTCTATAGCAAAGGGAAAAAAATCATCTTAAAAAAAGATCCCAAAGTTCGATCCATTTTAAAGATTAACAGTTCTCCAGAAAGGTAAAATCCACCAATTATTTTTTTTGGCCAATTGCATTTTCATCACAGATTTACGGTGTCCATAATATTAAAATATGGGTTTTCTTCTTAACTTTTTTCACCCACGTGTTCAACTAGTTGTGTTTACGTTAAAACAATTTAAGCACCAACAAATTCAAAATTCTATTTCCGCCACTGATAGTTCAATGACTTGTTATGTCCCGATCCGGATTATTTATACGGTAATTAATAATGTATGAGTTGTTATATTATGAATAATATTAGTACTGAATTTGTTATATGGGGATATCTTTGTCTTTAGTTACTCTTATTTTCGGGCACAATCATTGAACCGAAAGAATTAGAAGCCACGGGGTTAAATGCTGAAGAACCTAAAATAATCATATTCTTATTGAATAGGAAGGCATACATGGATTTGAGACTCGGCCCCAAACTCAAAGGTAAGTCAACGAAATTTTTACGAGCTAATGCAAATTATTTTGCTTGCTTCTATGTTGACATGATAGGTCTACAACCAACGATAATGATCCACAAACTCAATATTAACCCGCGTTATACGACAGTCAAGCTAAAAAAAATGGGGGAGAGTTCGTTCCATTCCTAAGTCAAATAATAGAAGATGAAGTTACTAATCCCCTGAATATCGGTTTAGTTCAGGAAGTCAAATCATCAGAACCGACAAGTTAATATCAACCTACCATGGCTTTTGAAACTCCAAGGTGGAGGATGGATACTGAAATACCAAGTTGTCTCGGAGATCTCGGTAAGTGGAGCCGTAATTTGAGAAGACAAAGGGCTCGAGTTAGTCCGTGGACTCGAAACAAAAATGTTGAGTAATCAAATCCAATGAACAATGCAACTCCAGAAATTCGAATACAACTTCACCTACAAAAAGTCACCGATCTTTTCGTGGAGTTATGGAAGTGGAAATAAATCGAATACCCCGAGAAGAGAGCGGAAAGTAATACAAGATTCCACATAAATTAAATGTCAGAAAACAAAGTGACTATAGTTCCCAGGACAACCTAGAGACTCTGAACCTTATATACCATCGAATCTTCCGGCACCGAAGGGTCCAAACTAGGCATCATGCTTATCATTCCCACTGGAGAAGTATTTTGCCAAAGCATTAAATATCATTTTATAACTAACAATGCAGCAGAGTATGAGGCTTAGCATGGAAGTCACAATAGTTCTGGCATAGTAAGCTAGAAGATGACCAATCTCGCCCCATTGGTGTCGAGTCCATTGTGAGAGGAGCTTAAGGACGTTAAGGCATTCTCAGGGGTGAACCCACAGGGCAGGGGAGAGGTTGCTTCCTAAAAAGAATCGGGGTTGGATCCTTGCCTTTGATTCCTTACCCATAGCATAAGATAAAGAAAGGGTGCGTGTTTCAACATCCCGAGATTTCGTAACGAGTAGATACTTCCGCAGGAGCATAATCTATTTTCTGGTTAAATACATTACGAGATGTTTTTCCATACTTTTCGCATTCAGTTCTAGCTATTTGTGCACCTTCAAATCGACCTGAACAACGTATACAGATCCTCTGCACCCCAAACTGCTATCGAATTAGCTCTTGGGGATATCATAAGTAAGAAGGAAACTAATGCTGGAGGAAGTGAATCAATCATAAGAGGTTGTTAAAAAAGGTCTGTGTCACGACCCTGGTTCGCCCTCTATGAACCATCGTGACGGCACCTAGTCTCTACGACTAGGTAAGCCTAATTTGCGGAAGGAAATAAAATTTGCGGAAGTAAAACCATTTAAAACAGGAATAAAGAAATAAATAGCGTTTAAATGTGCCGCTCGGCATACACAATTTTTAACTCTCAAAAACCAAAACATAAATCCAAGACCCGGAAACCCATGAATCACAAGCTAAGAAATACTACATAGCTCTAACTCCAGAATGTCTAACAAGAATTGAAATACAGAAGGGGCTAATACTAAACAACAAGAATAGAAAGAGACTCCTCGGTCTACGGACGCGGCAGATACACCTCGAAGTCGCTATAGTAGTCGCCTCGCCTCAGGGGTAATAGGACTGAGTCGAAGTACCTGGATCTGCACATGAAAAACATGCGTAGGAAGGGCATGAGTACACCACAACGCTACTCAGTATGTGTCAAGCCTAACCTCGGTTGGGTATTGACGAGGAAGTTCAGGGCTCTAGTGAGGTTAAATAGAATACAAAAAGTGCAACAGCATAAATAAGAACAGTATAAATAAGTGCAGCATTGAAGGTATCACAGGACATCGAGAATAATGACAACTAAAACATAAACAAGAATCACAGCAAAACCAGTACAGCTCAATGCAGAAGTAACAGTCGGGGGATCTACCAGGATACCGTCCTGTAGTCCCCAAGTGTAAATATTCAGTGGATCTCCCGGGTGCAGTACCGTAGTCCAACTCATAAAGGCACGGGGATCTACCGGAATTCCACATCCGTAGTCCCAAATATAAATACTCAGTACTGAGGGAATCTACCGGGTGCAATCCCGTAGTTCCAATGTAAAAGTGCAAGGGGATCTCCAGGAATGCAATTCCGTAGTCCCAAAGTAAACATACAGGGGAACTCCCGGGATACCGTCCCGTAGTCCCAAAGTAAATACACAGCAGCAACCAGAACTCAACACAATCAATTTCATACCAAGGTAAAGCCGATAATTCTAACCTAGCATGCTTCACGTAATACAAATAAGGCAGTTAAAGCAATTAGAGCAAATTTAGTCAATTATACATGCTTCTCTAGAAACAACAGGCTTAATTTCCAAATAGCGTAAGCAAGAAAAGGAAGAACACAATTTAAGGCTATTTTTAATGAAAAATCGGATTTCCAACAATTTGCACAAGTACGCACTCGTCAACTCACGTACAAGGCATTTCAATTATCACAATATCAATCCTAAGGGGAAAAGTCCCCCACACAAGGTTAGACAAGCCACTTACCTCGAACCGGCTCAATTATCAACCTGAAACCACGTTCTTGCCACGAGTATTCATCTCCAAATGGCCCAAATCTATTCAATTAAATTTCATAATG